AGGATTGTCTGAAAGGCGGACGTCGCGACTGAGTACATAGAGCAAGATGCGAGGAATGCGGCTGGACATAATCGGAGGCTCGTCGTCGGCAGCACTAAAATTGCGAGTGCAACAATCGGAACAAACAAATAAATCGCAGGTGTTGCACGGCGGCCAGGAGCAACTACGTCGTAACATCAAGGTCACGATTCATAGAAGACCTGGTAGTGGAGAGTCGGGAGCATTGCGGTGCCGCAGGCGAAAGAGAAGCTTCAGGGCCTGTGGGACGTCATGACCCTATGAAGGCGACAATGGGGCTCTCACCGAAATTTCTAGGGCACGAGGCCGCTGGACACTAAAAGGTGCCCTAAATGTCATCTGTCAGCCATATCAGGTATTCTCCACCGGAAGGGGTACAGATGGTCGAAACTGAGGAGATCCGGTTCAAGATTGGTGATGCTTGCTGCAGCATCGCCAACCAGGATTATGACGTGAGGGACGGCCTAGCGCGCCGCCACAATTCGCTATGGCCGCTGCAGGGACGCAAAACGAGCGACTTGGGGACGGGCCGAGCGTTCGTAGGGAGCGTAAAGCTGGCGATGGTCGTGCTGTCATGGAAGTACGGAGCGATCGCGAGACGTGCATTGCATGCGCCATGCCGCGACTGGCTAGGCACCACCTGAGTTCTAGACGGTTCGGCGCCCAAAGCAGCCGCGCAGGGACCGCTAATCGTTCATCTTAGCAGCGTTGATCGTGCAGCTTGATCTCGATATTCGTCGATTCGGAGCGGAAATCGTGTGCCAGGTACCGCAAGGGGCACGTGGCTGCGACCCGGCTCGAGGTATGACATGACACCTGGCATGCTCCGCTCCCAGCCTGTCCGATGTCTCGCCGACTAGCAGACCATGGCCAAAGACTGTTTAATGCAGTGCCACCTCGCTTGCCCTCTACACTGTATTATGCACCCCATCACCAAGTGCTGGTAGTGATGAGCCTGCAGCATGTGTATGCCGCCGTTGCATTCGTGGTCCAATAGCTGCGAGTTTCGGATAGAGTGGTCGACTGAGCAGGGTCTCACAGACGTGTGCGTCGATGGAAGGGGACAGTCTTGCTGGTGATCGTGGTTGAGCCATGTGTTGGGCATGGGCCGCGCCATCTCGTAGGAGAACGGCGATAGCTGGGTGAGCCGTAGGAACCTTGGAATGCACAAGCGCGCCAAGTCTCTAGAGAACCAGTCTTCCAAAGCCAACATGATTTGCCATGAAACGCCCAGGTAAACCATCTTAATGAAGATACATGGTTAAAGCTACGAGAACGGCCAGTTCAACGGTTCACAACTTCACTCCTTCACCCCATGGCTCCAGATTAGGCCTAGCGCGACTGTGAACCACTCCAGGGCTCCTTCTTTAACGTATCCCAAAACTGTAAACTGCAGGCAGCCGAGCCCGAACATGCTGTATCTCCACCATCCTGCCTATTAATCTAAACAAGGTCTTACACCACACTGGAATTCAAACCTACACCAAGGCAATCGACGCATGCCTAGTAAAAATGCCTCACACAAGGCACAAGGTAAAGCGTTCATCATTGCGGGCACCAATAGTTGCGACAGCCGTAGCAGTGCCACATAGTGGTTGACGACGGGGAAGCATCGTTCCCCCACGTACGCAAGAGGAACTGCGCCACTGCGGAAACAACAGGCATCAGAAAGTTCAAGTCCAAGTTGAACCAACACAAACACTGCTCGTATGACTTTCAGTAGCGATAGGCTTACACAGAACATGCGCAGTTGGCACTTGTTCAATAACTTGAGAATGAGCTTGCCAAACCTCAGTCAGGATATCTCTGTTTACGGCATATGATTATAAGCCTACGTCAACGCTATTGAGAGACAGACTGCTCGAACCAACATCACGTTTGCCAGTTGATCTAGTTAGAGAAGACAAAGTTCCAGCAAACGACATCAAAGTGACGAAAAGATGCTCAATACATCAAACACGGCTAATCATGTCTAACAGTCTCATCAATACGTATACATAACTCCACCACAGACACTCGACCCATCCTCTCCAACAGCCACAAACGCCTCACAAGCCTCCCTCCCACCATGGCCTGATCATCGTTCCACGTCTCCCCCACGCCACCCGCACAGCCCGCGTCCGCCACATCTCCGATCGCGAGATCCCATCTAACAAACCGTTCGATACACGCCATCCGAGCTCGGCCTCTGCGCCTTGTGCTTATGCTCCTTCCTCAAACCCTTATTAGCATGCGTCTTCTCGATACTCGGGCTGGCGCCAGGCTGGAACGCTGCAAGATCAACCGCATCCGTCTTCATCAGCATCTCGGTGACGCCACAGATATCCGTAACGAGTCTGTCGATCATGTCAAGTGACAGGCTCTCTCTGACGACTACTCGCAGGATCTCGGTCTTGTCTTCACCGGGCGGGAGCGGGTAGTTGGGGATGATGTATTGCTTGGCGCGGAGCAGGTTGCTGACTGCTTCTTGCTTGACGTGGGGGAAGTCTTTGTGGAACTCGTCGGTGAGTGTGAAGGCTACGACGGGGAGACCGGCGTTGTAGTCTGCACTTGTGTCGCCTTCGTCGAATTGCTTCTTGCCCGCCTCGTACTTGAAGTCGCCCTTCTTGCGGTGGATGTCGCTGACGCAACGGTACCAGCCCGTGTGCTCGAGCGCCCTGCTCAGTAGCCGTGCGTTGGCCAACATGTTTTCCATAATGGCGCGGTAGCCAGAGAATCCCAGATGGATCAGATTGTAGTACTGCGCGATGATCTGCGCTCCTGGACGGGAGAAGTTCAGAGTGTATGACTCCTCCGTTCCACCCAAGTAGTGGAGCTCGAAGATCAAGTGCTTGGGAAGGTAGCTCTCGTCTCGCCAGATAATCCAACCAACACCGGCATAGACGAGACCAAACTTGTGGCCACTGGTGTTGATGGATTTGACTCGCGGCAGCTCGAAGTTCCACTTCTTGCCAGCCTTTGCGTGGGTGAAGGGGGCAATGAAGCCACCAGATGCTGCATCCACATGGATGGGAATGTCGTTACCAGTCTCCTTCTCGAAAGCGTCCAGGATATCGGAGATTTCTTCGACAGGCTCGTAATGTCCGGTATATGTGGAACCAAGAATGACAAACACACCGATAGTGTTCTCGTCGATGTTCTCTTTCACCAGCTTGGGATCCAGACGGTAAGATGATTCTTCGCTTACGGGCAGGATACGTGATTCAACCTCGAAGTACCTTGCAAATTTCTCTAGCGCGACTTGTGCGTTTGCGCCCATGATGATGTTGGGGTTCGAAGTGTCCTTGCCCTCCGCCCTTCTCTTCTCTTGCCAGCGACGCTTCATTGCAAGTCCACCCAAATGGATAGCCTCACTCGAACCAGTAGTCGCTGATCCGATGGCCTTCTCACCCTTCTGTGCTCCCCACATGTTAGCAATGATAGAAACACATCGTGCGTGCATATCCATCATTGCGGGGTACTCGTCAGCGTCTGACATGTTCTTCGACAAGTTCTCGATCATGAGCTGCTCGGCTTCCTTCTCCATGTAGGTTCCGACGAAAGACGCCAAGTTCAAACTTGGGCGTCCATCCAGATCAAGCTCATCCTTGAGCAACTGGTGAACAACATCCGCCGGAGCACCATCGTGGGGAATCTTGAATTTCGATAGCTCGGTACCAGCGGCGTAGCGACTCGAGTATGGAGTGATGTGTGATGTCGCCCGACTCGAAGCTTTGTGGCCTCCAGCCTTGTGCATGGGGTGGTCCTTCAGAGTCTCGAGGAGCTCATCGGTGTCAACGTGTCTAGCGAGTCCGGCCATGGTGATGGATGTTCGAAGAAAGTGTTTGTGTTAGTCCAGTTTGGAATTGGTACAAGTTTTGTATGTATCGAGCAGAGAATTTGAGTCTTATACGAGTGTTTGCTGGTACACGTAGACAGCGTACATGCGCATGACGACACATTACGTCCGTTGTCGCTCGCAGACACACCGGCACTGCAGCAAAAACTCGAACATGCAGCCCAGGCAGAACCCAATCTGAAAAGCTTGACATTTGCTTGGTAAAAAGCTTGTTTCTGGCAGTGAAAAGGCCCCGTTGAAGGCATGGCAGCCAATGAAGGATGCATTTCCGCGGCCCACTGCGGGTGTTGGCTATGTGCTCAACCGGAGAACCGGCAAACAAAGCAACAGCATACGCGTCGGCTTCTGGTACTGGCTGATCTAGCCTCGTACCTTGCAGAGAAAGCGCAGAGCGAAAATAACGCATGGTGACGAACCTGCGTTGTAGCATTAGCCGGAAGCAAGTAGCCCTGGTGTGTTTGTACTATTGATGGGTCGATGACGAAACCCCTCCGGTGCTTCGTTTCGCCGACAGCGCGTCATCACGTGATGAGCCAGACACCCCCAAGCATCCCATGTGTATCGGATGTTGGAGCTTCCCAGCGGAAGTGTATACACATCCGCTAGAGCATCCCAAAGAATGGATCTGAGATCGCAGACTTACCCGGTTGAAGGCTACGAAACACCCAAAGTTTCGGGTGGTGAGGTGGATCGGTGATCATGACGTAGTCACGTCGTCGCCATCCAGCACATCCGCCTCCGCCGTGGAAACGCGGGGAAGATCGACTGACGCGTCCTTGACAGCCTGGTACGTACAGCACGTGGCCGCGAGGTCTCGACGGTGCGTTGGAAGCATACCTTGAAGCCGGGTGTTTGTACCTAGGTATACGAGTGAATACGAAAGCGAAACTGTCCAACCATCGCTGCAGCGTTTTCCTCTATCCCAACCGGCACAATTCTGGTTCGTTGGATTCGTCCGCCTTGTAGTCCGACACCCGAACAAGCGGGTCACCTACCGACGCTCCGCCCCCCAATAACGTCGCCACGCAGTGGTGTTGTAATCGACTCGGCTTACTCTTTAGCTTCGCTGCCTAGCTACATCTTACCTGTGTTCCTCTACCAACTTTTCCCCATCCCCCGATTCCCCATCAATCACTAGGTCACCATGCGGTTCTCACGCGTTGTACCAGTCCTGCCTCTGGCGACTGCATTTGTCATTACCGAACCGGAAGTCTTCTCCAACATCAACATTGAGAAGTCTGGAAAGCAGCTTGTCGATGGCGCTCACAATGTTTTTGACAACGCCCAGAGCGTGCTTGACGATGCGTTCAGCAAGGTCAAGAACGGTGCCAAGGATGTTTACAGCAAGATCCATCATGCTGGCGCCGACGTTGAGTCGTGGTTAGAGGAAAACCAGTTCGACGACAGTGTCGTTGACTTTGAGGACCCTCATCACGGCCACGACGGATCGCCACACCATGGCAAACCTCACCACCCTCCGCATGACCAGAAGCCGAACCGCACAGTCTACGAGCTCATCAACGAGAGCAAATACACTACAAAGCTCGCAAAGTGGATCAACGAGTTCGACGACATCGTCGAGGCGCTCAACAGCACAAAGGCAAACTACACCGTTTTCGCCCCAACAGACGAAGCCTTTGAGAAGATCCCCGAGCACCACCACAAGCCTTCCAAGGAGGTTCTGAAGGACATCCTCCTGTACCACGTCACCGACGACTTGTACCCTGCTGGCCGCGTACTCAAGACCTACACCATCCCAACCCTCTACCAGCCCTCGAAGCTTCTTGGCCACTCCCAGCGCCTAACCGTCCGCGTCACGCTCAAGGGCCCCGCAATCAACTTCTACAGCCGCCTCGTAGCCGTCAACATCTTCGGCACCAACGGCGTCGTCCACGGCGTCGACTCCATCCTCGTGCCTCCCCCCAACGTCGCCTCCATCATCGACCTGCTCCCCGGCGAGTTCAGCACGCTCGAGCTGGGTCTAGGAAAGACCGGTCTGTTCGACAAGATGAACAGCACGGAGTACGAGCACAACGGCGGAACTTTCTTCGCCCCCAACAACTTTGCGTTCCAGAAACTTGGTGCGCGCGCCAATGCTTTCTTGTTCTCAAAGTACGGCGAGAAGTACCTCAAGGCTCTGCTCAAGTACCACATCGTTGTTGATGAGACGCTTTACTCGGATGCGTTCTACGATGGAAGGAAGAAGGGTGACAAGGACTCTGTTCAGGAGCGTCCGGGTGGCTACCACTACATGCCTACTGCGCTTTGCGGCAAGAACCTCGCTGTTGATGTCGGCCGCTACGGACCTTTTGTTGAGATTAGGATCAATGGCTTCTCGCGCGTCACTGTCCATGACGGTGTTGCTAGCGATGGTGTCATTCAGGTCGTCTCCAACGTCTTGATCCCACCCAAGACCGCTGGTGGCGAGCAAGTCTTCTGGAAGGGTGAGGAGCTCGACGTCGAGGACCTCAAGGAGCGCCTTCAGCCTCTTGTTGAGAACATGGAGTTGTAAGCAGTGACTCCATAGGAGCATTGAGTTTGTGTGTTCTTGCAGTGCGACGATCTTTACGAAATATTCCTTGTATAATAGCCTTGTTTTCCAGCGGAGCAGGTACTTCACACTAGCACGTGTATGATTTGAATAGCAAATGAACGAATCGATATAGACATCGCGATCATTACCTGCTGCATACGGTGATGTTGTGAGATATCATTCTATTGTAAGACCCAAAGACAGAGTGTCATACCAGACACAAAAGCAAACTAAAGAGTCGTGCAGAGGAGGAACCCTTCCTAACAACCAAATTCTACGAAAAGTCCTCACCACCCTCCTCAATCGTGTTCTTGACCCGCAACAGAAGCGTGGTCTTCCACTTATCGAGCTTGCTCAACTGGTCGAATTGGAACAACTATCACACGTCAATATAACCCATTCTCGGAAGGCGTAAATTCTGGGAAAACATACCTTATCGGCAAACATCTCCTGGTCGCCCTCCTGCACCGCACCTGCCAAGTCAACGAGCAGCGCGTGCTCCCTCTGTTGCTGGAAGCTTGGATCCAGCTCCCTGTACCTGTCAAGGGCAGTGTTGACGCCGACCTGGTCGCCTGTGCATAGCTGGCAAATACCAGCTTTGAGAAGGTACTCCTTGACGGACCAGCGCATGAGGTTGTTGGAGATCGAGGTCTTGGCGACCTTCTCGTAAAGCTCGATGGCTTTGTAGTAGTCCTTGCCTTCTAAGGCGACGAGATCAGCAGTCTTGAGCCAGAGCTTGTTGGCGAGTGCCTGTGGGGGTTGGTTAGTTTTTGCCAAAAAATTGGGTGTTGGGTGCATTACTTCAGCGTTGTCCTAGAGATAGGTTAGCATGTAATCTATAGTATATTATGATGCAGTACTTACGCTCTCGTACCAACCAGCCGCTTCCTCGTAGGCGGCTCCGGCTCGGGCGTTGTCACCAAGCTCGACTTCGTAGAGCTCGGCAAGATTCTGCTTGTGAGTGGCTGCACGGCGGAAGTTGCCTTTGGCGCAGTAATGCGCAATGGCTTTGTCTAAACACCTCGCTGCGGCTTCTGGGTCATCTTTGCGGTAGGCCTCTGATGTCTTGTTAGTTGAGACTGAATCCAATGTGAGAGTAGAAGCATACTGAAGGCGTCTGTGAGCGTGTTTGCTTCGTCATCAGGTTCGTTCAGGTGCTGACGTTGTACTGATGCTGCCTTTTCGAAAGCCTCGCCTGCCTCCTTGCCTGATTGTTGTTAACCTTCAACAACGCGCTGTGTTTCATGATGCATCTGCCCATACCCATCTTTTGCATGCGGAACGCATTTGCCGCAGCGATAAACTGCTCTGCGGCTGCCTCATCTATCACGTGCGTCAGCCAAAACGAGCACATATGCCGCGATCTGTATCATACACTTGTCTGCCTTATTACTGAAGAAACTGAAGCCACCGCCTGCCTTCTGCAAGGATGTTTCTGCCTGTCCACCTCGATATCAGTTATCTGCTGTGTGGCTGAGTCGTGAGTGTAGGCCCCACCTGTCGCAGCAGCGCTCGTGGATCGCCGGCCATATTCGCTGTATTTTCTAGAGTTGGTGGTATACGAAGAGGAGAGGGGATGAATAGAGTATGTGACTGTGCAGGCAGACGTTATGTTGAAACTTTGGTCGAGACAGGTGGCTGCACTTGCTGTCTCAATGCGATGACGACCCACGTTGGTCCATGCGAGGGCTGTGACCTCGGCGGCGGCGTTACTGCATCCGCACTAGTGTTTGCAACCGCCTCGAGCTTCACGACTTTACATTCACAGCAGCGTCACTCAAGTCTCGCGATAGAAGAGGAAGATCGCCGTCATATCGATGCGCTGAAGTATCTCACGGTCTACAACGAAAATCTCGTTCCGTCCCAACCAACGTCCTACCCCGCCTCGCGCATCACATTCATCATGGCGGCACGTCGCGCGTTCACGTTCACGAAGTTTTGCAAGCCTTCACCATACCTGCAAATACGCTCATACACGCCCTCACGTGTACGACTATACGAGGCTTCGTGGACTGAAGAAAAGCCGGCACGGAAGAAGATAGGCATCCATCCCGACGAACTCGAAGAGCTTCTAGCGAAGCCCACCTGGTCCGTCGAGTCTCTGCTCCCACCGAAGACGCGCGCTCCCGACGCCCCCCAAATTACCTCTCAACAATTACATCATCTCCTCCGCCTATCAGCCCTCCCGCCACCCGAAACGGCCGAACAAGAACAGAAGATGCTAGACACACTGGCAGCGCAATTACACTTTGTGGGCAAGATACAGGAAGTGGATACAACGGGTGTGAAGCCGTTACGGGCTATACGGGATGAGACGATGGCTGCAGAAGAAGAGCAGACGATTACGTTGGAGACGCTGAGGGATGCTTTGGATAAAGAGAAGGTTATAGGACAGCATCACAAGCGGCTACAACGGGATACTACGCCTGTGGATGCGAAGGATGTTGAGGACTGGGATGTTCTGGGCTCGGCAGAACGCAAATCTGGCAAATACTTTGTGGTAGAAAGCGAACGGCCACAGGAATGACCTTTCCGTCCTAGGCCACTTCAGACGTGTAGGTCAGGTGTAATCAGTTTGGGATAGCCTCGTACCTGCTACGAGGCGGATACGAACAATTGTCGAATGACGACTCTGTTTCTCTCCAAGGAAACCCAACGCCAGACGCCCCAGAAGTTGTAAGAGAGCATGTTCAGGAAGGAACGACGGCTTCATGAGCAGCAAGAAGTAGTCGTGCTCGCTCGCGGCATACGGGCTTTCATCGATAAGCCCAGACCGAGGAAAGATCAAGAAGAAAGACAGAGGCAAGAACCACAATACCAGACCCAAGGCGACTATCACGAAAAGGACACACCGAAAAACCTCGTCAAGTAGGAGATCACGCCGACCAGGGATCGACCTCTAAACCACATCCAGCGCTATGCTTGACAACATGCGATCCTCCACCACAATCGCAAAAGGGTGCCTCCTCGTCCATTTCATCCAGATCAGGCGTCGGCAACCGGCCTAGCCTAGGCGTAGGAGGAGGCGTTGGCCCCGCAGAGGAGTGTAAAGCCCCTTTCGACTCCAACAATAACAACTCTCGATTCGACTTTGCCTCCCCATGAAGGACCACTGGCTTCTCCCTTCCTTTCGACACATGCTTGGCAGAAGTCACGTGTGTCACGTGTCTCTCACCGGGTCCTGCGGCCAACCCTCTCGGTGCGGGGTGAGACTGCTCGACCTGCTGAAGGCTGCTTCGTGGGCTTGTACGCTCGTTCTCCACGGGATACAACACGAAGTCGTGATATGTCTGGACTGGAGAGTCGATCTTGCGGACCGCCCAGGAGCGACGACGAGATTCCTCGATCTGGATACTGCGGCCGTTGTGGTATGTCGTCTGACGGTACTCGTTCTCTTCTTGCTTTTGGTCTGGCATGTCTGGTGCCTGGCGAGCGGACTGTTGTGCTGGCGACGACGACGACGACGACGACGGCATCGATGCAGTCAGAGCAGTGGGAAAAGCGAGAAGAAAGTTTCAAGGGATCTCAAAAGCCTTCTCAAGTCCTCCAAATTGGTTCCAAGGCCAAGAAGAGATGTTGTGGGATGGTTATGTGAAGAGGGGTAGTGGGGAGGAAGAGCGAGGAAGGGGTGCGGATGTGCATGGTGGGCGGTGCGAGTATATACAGTGCGGGATCTGTGCGCCAAGCCTGAGCCCGCCTGACACCCCCCGGGCTCTGGCTTCCACCACTACGCCCCCCTCGCTTGCTTGCTCTTCTGCAGCAATCGACTCCCACTCTCGCAAGCAGTTTGAAGAGGCTCGATTCGTTCGAAAAGACAGGGTTTCACAGGACTTGTAGTGCTCTAGTGCACTTTTGCACACTTCCGGATTGGGGTGGAGGAATGTCTGCAGGTAGAGTCGGTATGAGCAGCTAATGTACGACGAGAGAGGCATGCAAGAAAAATGGGCCAATGGAGAGATGGTATTCGTTCGATGCATCGGGTTTTGGCAGTGCCTGCATGTGCACCTTGTCGTCGCTGGCTGTCTCTCTCTAGCCACGAGCATATATAGATATCACGCCCTTCCGAACAGGTCTCTTAGTAATACAAGAGCTTTTTCAACGCCTTTTCCACTCGTATCTCAGCCTTTGCTCCTATTATGGCATTTTCATCATATCATTGGTCGTATTACTGCCTAAGTGTAAGTAGCAGGGCGTATGCCAAGCTCTTCCCCGGAAGTCTACAAAGCTAGAGCATTTCCACCAAGCTATTCCATCCTCTCTGCCCTGAGACAGCACAAAGTTCTAAAGTATTCATTAAGACACTCTATAAGACAACTCAGGTGACATCTGCCTCCGGAGTAATATAAGGACCTACACAGACATACAATGCCTGCACATGCCACTCTCCTCCCCGGGGCCGTTACTAGAATACTTCGCCTACGGAAGAAAGCTCTCTGCAGATCAATTACTACATCTCCTCTATCTTACTTTTATCGCCCATCCTCATCTTCGAGATACCAGCCACCATCTTGACATTGCTCCGCGAAAAAGCCGTGTACAGATCTGCAAAACGACTAAGCTCATTTTCATACTTGTACTTGACCAAACAGCTTCATCTTCAAAGTTCTCTTTACTCGCAAAGTATAGCTTAGCACATCGCTCACGCCTGTTTTGTCGGAAAGTTAGTTCTGGTATTCACATACGCGACACTAGCTTCCAGGACTGATGTACCAGACAAGCACTAGAAAGCATAGCTGTTTCGGGATACACAATGATCGGAGATCATGAATACTTTGCCGTATTGATGAACTTCTCATAAAAATGTCATCAAAGATTCTTCCATAGTGGTTGTTCAGAAATTTTAGTGAGATCTGGTGCTTTTCGGGATCGTTCAAGGGGTCTAAGTCGTAGACAAGATAGAAGGGAGTGCGCGAGAACTGTCAGACAAACGATGTCACAAGTTCGGTAAACAAAATGTTGTAGTAACAGTAAAATGCCGC